TTTTATCATAGTAAAGATGTCCTATTAAAGCTGAGAGGAATATAAATTATGAGACTAAGCCCTAGAAGAAAGCATCAAACAGAGCAGCCACATAAATCATTCTTTTACATTAACATACTCTTTGAACAAGACTACTCAGATTTAGCCTATGGCACCAGAAATATTCACAGAGAATGGTGATGGGTTTTAGAGAAGTGCCTTTTCCTAGTTAGATTTTCTTACACACTTTTTTGGCCCCACTGTTTTCCTGGTATCCCTTTTACACACATGATATCGATGCATGTGTCTTTTATACATAACTATAAAGAAATAAGACTAATTCCATAAACTATAAATAAAAGCAGCCACATTGTTTTACACTTAATTTTATTTTGGAAGATATATCAGGCAAATCTAATGGAAACCATCACTGTATTAAAATAATATGTTTTTCTAAAAGATTTATTTATTTATTTTGAGAGAGTGAGAATGAGAGAGAGAGAGAGAGTACATGAGAGGGGGGAGGGTTTGAGGGAGAAGCAGATTTTTCGTGGAGCAGGGAGTCCGATCCGGGACTCAATCCCGAGACTCCAGGATCATGACCTGAGTCGAAGGCAGTGTTTATTTTTTACAAAAGACTTTTTGGGAGCAATCAATATTCATGTTGGATATACAAAGGAGTAATGTGAAGGTGGACCAGGCTGAAACTCAGATGATGAACAATCTTAACCATGACTGTTTTTTAAATTAAAAACAGCTTTTATAACTATACTATTTATAATGGTTTGTGATAAAGCATAAATAAGAATAATTATGATAGGTGTCCCTTTTTCTTTCAAATAGAATCATTTGTGACTCTATAGCATAATTCTGCCCTTAAACTTTTCTCACTATGCATTTCATTTTTAGGTGTTTTTCTAATAAGAGCAAATATGTCAAAAGGTTCTAACTGAATCTTGCCGTTCAGTATCAACACATGGTGCTCTATAGCCTTCCTGATATATACAACGGATGCAAGAGACATACGTGAATCCTTATTTCTGCATGCAACCTCTTATGTGAACATTTCTACAAATGCACTCCCCTTACTTTCCGCTGACCTTGTTTTCTTATAAATCCCCACCTTTCATGGACCAAAGTGGTGTTAGTCTCAACTAGAAGCCAACAATATAAACACTTGCTATTGCTTTCAGTAGAGAAAACCAGTGTGTGGTTTCACACCACATATTTGTACATCTATGTTTTATCCTGTTGATGGATGACACAGAGACAACAATTCTAAGAGAGGATTAAGGAGAGTAATCTAGCAACAGGTGTACTGATCCAGTCAAATGAATCTGCAAAAGACTCTTTCTGGATTGTGGTGGTAGTAATGAGTTCTTTAGGTTGCGGTGAATACTTGGATGAGATAGCAGAACGAAGGACAGGTATCATATATCCTTTTAATTTACCTTGAAGTAGGCCAATTTCTAGAAAACTAGGAGGCAATTTCACCAAGTTCAGCCATCTCTAAAGAGAAAGTAAATAATTATCATTTCTATAATCCTAAATTTCTAAATCTGGAAATGTGTTCTACAGAGTCATGAAACATTTAATCTATAGAGATGAAACCGATCTTAAAAATACATCATGTTTGATTTTTTCATTATTTATAGATAAGAAAACCAAGGATGAAAGAAGAGTGATTTATGTAATGAACTGGTGTTCATCAACTAGATTGGAAGATTTTTACTATTCCATGCTATCTAAAACCCATGAACATTAATGGTACCTATCAAAACATATAAAATCTGCTATAATTTTCTATTCTCCAGAGTACTTACTGAAGTCCTAGAATGCATTGTGTGTTCTCTCTCATGTACATACGGTTTTTTTCTTTTGTATATCTTCGGGAGTAAGCTTTATCCCAGCTACCAAAATAGTCTACTTACTGCCTGCCCAAGAAGTGACAAAAATAATCCTGAGTTAAGGTATGAAAAATTATTTGCCCCTAGTTAACATTCCACAACTCAAAGATGAATAAGAGCTTATCAACAAATATATTCAAAAGAAAGGAAAAATAATTACTAAAATAGGTTGTTTAATTCCAGATTATTTTTCTAAAAACGGGAATTTATTTTCTACTGTGCATTCACCTAAAAGTACTGAGATTAATGTTACAGGGTAATGATAAAGATAATAGATATAATCATTGATCTCAAGAAATGAATATTGATCCTGTGTTATAACCAAAATATATTCTTCTAGAATCTAATTATTAAATATTTATTATTAAAAATAATTACTATGCAAAAACTTACTGTAACCAAAGCTACAAAGGAGCATTTTAATACCACCAATATTCTAATACTATTTAAGGGTTGATAGGCTGTTTATCTTTAAATCCTTAATGCTGATAGTTGAAAGATAAAGTAAACAAAAAAATTAAATTTGTAAAAATAAAAATAATCTCTTAAATGTGGATGGTTGGAAGAAATTCTAACAATAAAACATATTGAGGATTTTAGATTATTAGATATCTTATTTATTATTACCAAATACTTATATCATTGATGATGCTGTTTGTTCAAGGATCAGACTTTCAAATTCAAACAAACAAAAAAACAGAACTCAAAACCATGAATTTTTTAGAGGTTCATCAGGAATGCTAATGTGTAAATGATCAGTAATAACTATATCATTGAATCTTTTGTCCTTCTTTAGAATGTAAAAAACAAATAAGCTGATTTAAGACCCTCTGGGTTACAGATTTTAATAGTATTGCAGCAAAGATAGGATCATAGAAAAACTGGCCATCCTTGATGGCACAACTGAGGTTTTCTCCTAAATTACTTTCTCAGAACATTTAAGAAAATAACCGAATTATTTCTTGTTCTTTTTCAGTTGAATATTTTCCTCTTTTTTTTTAAACCAATCAATTACAGACCAAGCTCTAGAAAGAATTATTTTTATTTCTAAAATTAGCCAAGATCTTTCTTCATTTTGAATGTGGAAACAAATTAGCTCCAGAGCTTCCTAGAACTTATTTCAGGTTCATTACCCAGAGCAGACCATCAAAATAACTGGTCCAGAACATCCTGTTAGTATCAGAAACCATCACGCAAACTGTCAAGCTCTTTGTTCTTTCTTGACAAATATCTAGTGGTCTCTGTCTCTGAAAGTTAAAATTTATTTCCTGTCTCAATTTGCTTTCAGTGCCACAAATTCTTTCAAGTCACAGTAGTTCTTTTTGAGAGAGATTTTTGCTCCCAGAATTGAGCTGGCAGCAGAATGGCTACACAAAGCAATATGTGAACAGATTAATTGTGGTATTTTAAAAATTGTCTTTGCTTTTCAAATTGTAGTCTAAAGAAAGTGTGAGGAACATATTTTTCAGACTTTGTTATTCCCCTCTACTCATTGTGTTGTCTTCATTTCTTTATCTCCATACTTCTCAAAGTACATTTTTAAAAGGAATGGGTATTTTAGCATGTCTTCAAAGTTAATTTACAATTATTAATATGTAATCAGAGGAAAAACACAAAAATAAATCTGTCCGCATTTTTTTCCTGCTCTCATTCCAGTCATTAAAACTAAGAGTTGAATGAGTAATATTCTTTTACATTATTGGGCTTTCCTCAAATTGTACTTTATTATTTTGCATATTGCTTTATGAATTATAATATTAATTTAGACAGTTTTTAAATGTTTCAATATACATTTACCAACATATATATTTTTGTGAATCCCAAATTCCCATAACAATTCTGATTTTAAAATATAAATAAGTAGATGTTTTTATTAAACTTTTTAAATTGATATGTACTTACTAGCATTAAAATTCTCTACCAATCTAAGCACCATATTCTTTGCAAAAGCATCTTTTACTAAAACACTTCTATTCATTTCATTAAAATAATATTTCTTCAGTCCATCGAATTATTAAGAAGGAAAATCCATTAGATCACTAATCATTCTACTTGTTCTCTTACTGACACAAGTAAGCATAAATAAGTTTCAATGGTAGCCAATGCTACTGGTCAAAAGCATATTCCAATAAAGGTTACCTGTACATCATGCAGATACAACATTAGATGAAAAGATTTTCATCTTTATATTTTCAAAAACATTTATATTTACTTTCCTTACCCTTTCAATATTTGTCTTTAAAAGTTTCCCGCCAATCTTTAGTACTTTTAATATCTTGTCCATCTTTTATTCTGCCAAATCCTCTTTAAGCTTTTTGATGAAACAAGTGCTTCATTTGACTAAATTTTGTATTGGTATCTTTAGTCTAAATATATTATCATAATAAAACATAAACTAGATTAGCAGAAAATAGTTTCATGAACAATGAGTGCTTTGCCAATCAAAAGGCTATTTCATTAGAATAATAGTATCGAAAATAAAATTCTATTACCCTTAAATCTTTCAATCAAAACCTTCATTCATACAGATGATCATTCCAGCATAATAAAAAATATTTGTATTTATACGATTTGTACCTATGAAAAATGTTAATTCACTCAAGTATAAAGAGAGAATGGAGGCAAATGCTTTAATATTTGGCACATTATGTTAGGATCCCATTGTAAAATCTTTGATTTGCATGTAGTGCCTACAGGTTTTCTTTCTACCTATGCATTTGTCATGAATACACCAAAAATATCATCACATGCTGTAACAACACTCAAGGTGGCCCTTATCTCAAAAAAGTTAAAGCTAAACATTTAGATAGAAAGTCATAGTTTTAAGGAATGTTGAATTTACACTGCAGTCATAAAATGTTATAAAGCTTTTCCTATAAATATTTATATTCATTTTCATATATACTTCAATTAAAACAACAACTTTCCATACTCTGCCCTTTCAAAAGTGGAATTCAGGATTAACATCCTCAAAACACTGTTGAAGAAAAGCAGTGCAGCAAAGATGCAAAAATGATGTCCAGATTGATGGCTTTTTACAAATCTAATTCTATTGCCATCTGAATTGAACTAAAAAACAAACAAAATAAAAACTGGACTGCTGATAGACCTTACCTTCTTGAACTGCTTGAAAAGGGTTGCTTCCATCAACAAATGTTACTGAAAATGTGATTTTCTCAGTCTGTAAAATCTCCTCATTCTGGTTGAGGTCACCAACTGCTGTACGAAACACCTCATCATCCTTTTTGGCAGATTCATCAAAAATTGCTCCTAGAAAGAAGTGAGTGTTGCCATTAAACAATAACATAAATATTCTGTCATACTCTCTGGAAATATGCCAAAGAGACTTATATATTTGAAAAATGTATACTTTCACTTAAAACATGCACTTTATTTATTACTGAAACACATTGTACTGGAAGCAGCGTGATTGCTAAGCAGGAATGTAATTACTTCTTCCAAAGGGTAATGATGAATAGTACATCAAAGTGTTATTTCAGGAAGAGCTTTGGTAAGACAATATAGTAAGTTCAAAAAGCTTTTGCAGAACAAAGTAGCTAATACATTAGATGTCTCTTATCATAATATCTTTAGGAATTCATAGTTTGAGGAATATTTTTCTGAATAATAGGAGATAAAATCAGGAAACTTTCTGAGAGCCACTCACACAGTGTACAGGGACTTCTACTGCGATCTGAATTTATTTTTCATTTTTCTTTTTACTTCCTTCCTTTCTTTTTCTCTTGAACAAGCGTTTCATTATATTTTACAGTAGTTAATTCAATAACATTTATAGAAAATTTAGGCACATACAAACCTCTGAGCAGAGGTAATTTAAGAAATACTTCCTGAAGAATTAACAAAAATCCTGGTGGATGATTATGGCCTTTTAGACTCATATAAAATAATAATTTTAGGAGTTGTGGCTAACTTCTATCTGAATGATTGCCTGTCAACAGGGTATTGGTTAAACACACCAGTTCTGGGAGTAAACTGATTTCAAATTTTGACTGCCACTTGTTAAGCATATGACCTTGAACATGGGGATTCAAATTCTAAACCCCACATTTGTCATTTGTAAAATCTAATAATAATATCTATAATAGTAAATTTTTAATAAACAGTAATGTATTCTTATTTTTAAATACTGTAATCCAACATTTTCTATTAATATTTTTCCATATTACAGAATCTCATTCAATCCTTAAAATAATGTGATACATATACTACTACATATACATACAGTCATGACAATTAACTTTCAGTGCAAGGAATATGCCAAATGGACAAGGGCCAGAGTCCTTGACCCCAAAGTCTGCTCTAAATCACTATGGGATACTGCTTTTCAGGATTATACCCATGAGTAAAAGTATTTTTATGAGGATCCTGACTTTACTGCAAATCTGGGAGATTCTTTCCCAACTGGCCACACATGCCACACATGTATTCATTCGGATTCTGCTAGTTCTAAGCAGGAACACATTTTTAAACTGTTTATTTTTAAATTATAAACACTGGGCCAATGTACTTTTTACCTTTTTGAGTGAATCAAATGAATTTCCTCCTGACAAAAAAAGACATACACCCCAGGGTCAATAACAGGATAAAGGAATGACTACACAACCATATCCATATACAGATCCCCATACACATAATATGGTTCTTGACTATAATATTCTTTGTAGTGTGTACATAAAAAGGCATTAAAATGTCTTTTTTTCATATATAAATACAATATGGGTATTATATACACACAGAGAGATAAACACAGACTATATATACAGACACAAATATACATATACATGTTTATGTTTTTTTTTGTTGTTGTTGGCCTCTCTTTGTCTCCAATAGGTATTTTTATCTACAATATTACTCCAATGCTTGGTAAATAATTCTGCAAAAGACAACACCAAAATACACTTCACAGGGGTGCAGTCCTTGTTAACCGACTCTGAGGTAAAATCAGAAACAGGATCTATACACATCCACACATATGTATACATAGAAGCAGACAGTCTACATATGCCATTTCTGTTGATTTTATGCATTTGTGACTAAAGCCCAAAGCCTTCTAGTGAAAGACAGATCATGTTATTAAACATGCATCATTAGAGTCAATACATGATAGAGCAAGGGTGAAACTATGTCTATTTCTGACAAGTGTGGCAGGTTACTTTTGCCCTCTTCACCTTAAATGGCCTCATGATGATGAGGCAATTATTAATTTTCACTAGAGAAGGCACTTCTTGTATGAATCTAGTTTTCTCTTGTCACCACTCTTTTATATTTCCATGGAACGTACTAACTTTGACCAGCCTCTTAAAACCCTTGCTTTCTACTTCCTATAGCTTTGAATACCTGCCCACAGCTAAGAGCAGGAGAAAGGACAAAGAATTTTTTTTAACTGATACATAAAGTACTCCCTAATTATATTATTATATATTTATTAGTCAGGAAATTAATATTTTACTAATTTAATCAAACATATTATAGATGTTAACTTATGATCTCATATATCACTTCTGAATCAGATTGAAATCTACTTTAGAAATTGTTTTTGTGAAATTAGTTAGACAATAAATGTTAGATGTATCTTGCTCATTTTAAACCACATTCATGAAAATGCATTTTAATTTGTGATAACTGTTATGAGAATCTAGATTAATTAATACTATCAGATTCAGATATACAAATTTCTTTAGTAGTTTGTTAGAAAGTGTGATATAAATGTACTATAATTGGAACTGAAATAACCAATTTATTTTAAACTAGATAATCTAAAATGTCTACGCACAAAGAAGTGATGTATGTTTATATAAAGATGCTTCAGCTTGTCATGAATTCTAAATGGGTCTTTTAAAAGAAGAGTTTCTAATCAAACTTGTTTTAAAGCAGGTGATATTACTGACTTCTGCTGAGTACTGGTAACACATTTTTAATGGAAGCATTTTAATGTTACCTGACAGAACATTTAAGATTGCCTTAAACATTAAACCTGACTTAATAAATAGCAGAAACCTACAGAAATGATAGCAAATTAGTCAATTCCATGCTGAATTAAGATATACTGAAAAGGAAATGCACAAAAGAGGCAGTTCATCTTTCCGCAAACAGCAAGAAGTAAACAGAAGAAACGTTTCATCTTACTTCACACAACATAATCAAAGAACAGGAAATCCTATCAACATTTTCAAATCCAGTTATTTACTTTTTTTCCTCGGCTATAAAATCTCATCTTAGATTTGGCTTTTAACCAAAAGAGTACATGCAGCATTTTGTATTAAGCACAACTATTCTGAAAACAGCCCAGTGAGTTCCACATGCAGAATTTCACACACAAAAGTTTTTTTCCTATTTTATGCACTTCCAATAGTATAGCAATGCCATCTTTTTATCCTTTCTATCAATACACATATATTACCAGTCTAATCCGATATCAAACATCTTAGATTTACTTTTTTGGAAATTTATAAAGTTCCTCAAATGCAACATTCATAACTATATAGTTAACATGATGATAGCATCTAGTTCTTTCCCAGCTATTTTTATTAGCATTTTTTTACTGTCAGTTTTATTTTACAAACTTGAGGTGAAATGCAGATTCAACTTATGGCCCAGATGAAATAATTCTTCCACCACTCACACACACACACACACGCATGCTTTGCTCAACAGATTATACACTATTTACACTTCACATTGGTCAAACTGGAAGAATAACCAAGCAATAAAGCAGATACGGAACACCTCCTAAACATTCCCATTATACCGATTTGTAATCAGTCAATTCCATTATTAGGGATTGATGATCTGTTCCTTCCATGAGAGGGAAAAAGGCTTTACTTATCCTTATACAAAGAGAGTGACATATACAGGCAAGGAAATATACGTTTTGTTTTGTTTTGAATTAATTTATTTATTTTGAGAGAGCGAAAGAGAGAGAGAGAGAGAGAGAGCTTGTCGGGGAGGGGGCAGTGGAGAGGGGTAAAGAGAGAATCCCAAACAGACCTGCTGAGCATGGATCCCTGTATGGGGCTTGATCCCACAACCCTGAAATCATCATTTGACCTGAGCTGAAATCAAGAGTTGGACCCTTACCTGGCTGAGCCAACCAGGCGCCCCACATATATGTTTTTAAATATAAACTACATGTTTACTTGTCTTCTTAGAACTTATATCTTAGATAGTAAAAAATTATAGTTTATAGTAATATTAAAACCCAACCTGACATCTTTTTATTCCTTGTTGTGTAGGGTCATCTGTACAAGTCAGCATTTTATACCATAAAATCTTTTTATACAAATTCATATTTGCAAATATGCTTGCTAAATAAAACATTATTAGAAGTTACTAACCTGACCAACTCCATAATTCTCAAAACATTAGAAGCTTTAAGAAACATTAAGCTTAGAAGCGTTTTTACCTTCATGTCTTTATTCATGGTGTTGTCTCCATCATGGATGTATGTATGCTTGTCTCATTAGCAAAATATAATTTCCTGGGTCATAGAAACTATTTTTATACTTTGACTGTATAAAAGGGAGCCTGGATATATTAGAATTAGTCAAGAAATAGTAATTGATTAATTTTTCTTTATGTTTAGTTAGGCATATTATAAAATAACTAGATTCATAGACAGGAGTAAAAATGTGAGTTACAACCAACTCTAAATTAAAACAAAAGTAGACTTGCTAATGTACTTGCAGGTGAATTTATTATCACAGTCATTATCATGACTCCAGAATACCCAAATTATTCAGCAAGTTATTAATCATACACTCGTATTTTTAGTTTGAATACTTAAATTCTTTTTTTTTCTTATACATAGGTAGGTGGAGGAAACATTGTTTAGCTGGTAAGATAATGGGGGAAAGAAAATGTCTTCATCTAGCTCAGAGTTTTCTCTAAAAATATTGAGAAATGTTTTGATACATGTCTTGAAGAAATTTTTCTAGTCAGCCGAATTATTGGAAGATCTCTGTATCACATTATATAACTAATTATATAACTTTTAAAATATATAATTCTAAATATCTAATCTGAATATCTAAATATTGTTGTCTAAATATATGATAACAAGTATAAACACATCTACATTACCCTTGCATGATCAATGTTTAAAGCCTTACCATCTAAAGAGACATGTATGAAACAAATGCCCAAAATACACGGTTGGATATCAGAGTTGCAAATAAAATCAGAGATAGCTCATCTTTTTTCAATCATGAAGTTCAAAATCTTCATTTATTTAATTTTGCCTATATATGAAT